TTTTTTTTTCTCGGAAGGGTCTGTAAATTTGAAACTTGCAACATCGCCCCTACTCTTTTATTATTATTGCAAACACCCCGCAATTGGCCGTTAGGATTTTAAAGAAATTTTGCGACTTTTTAATCCAAATGTGCTTTGTTTACCGGAAACGGAAGCCAGTGCAGGTGCGGCTAGCAGGCTTTGCGAAAAAATATGAAATTTGATGGCCACTTTGTACAACCAGCTAATGGTTTTGTTGCAGGTGTATTGATTTATTTGTGGAATGTAAATGCCGTCAATCTCAGATTTTTAGATTCCAACAGTCAAGTTATACATCATATATGTTGTGATTGAGGATGGTAACAGAGAATGGATCGTTTCATTTGTTTATACACAACCACATACTCTTGCGAAGGATGCTCGCTGGAATGGGCTTCAAACGTTCTCTGTTAATATTCATCGTCCTTAATGCAAATGAAAATATTAGATTTAACGGAAAGCTAGTCAACTCACTAACATGTGATTAAATCAAAAATAAAAGTTGATTTGAATATAAACAAGAGTTCAAAACTGCATTATTCAAGTTGTTGGAATTGAAGCCATCGTCTCGTGTTCTCGGTAATGTTTTTGGACATCCAATGCTAGTATAAAAAGAAAGAAAAAGAAAGATAATTACTTTTCTTTTTCATTTATTCTCTTTCTTTTTTCATCTCAAACTGAAGTTATTATTATATACTAGTTTGCAGGCTCATGCTATGATTCTTGCTGCATAATAATGAAGCAGATATTTTATAAACTATAAAGTAGTTATTATTTAAACATAATAGTTATAATCTAAAAATTGTACCTCTATATATTTTTTTTTGGTATCATTTTTCTTTTAACATGAACTCTTCATCCAACATGGTACACTTAATCATATATGCTCAAAGATAATATAATTTGCAATGGCTTAAAATTTCATCCTCTAAATTAAATATCATATCAGTCAATGCAGGTCAAGCGATTTAGCGTTCAAAAACACTTAACACAAGATAAGATAACAACTTTTTATATGACAAATCAAAATTGTAAGTCTATACCTCAAGCAAAATGTATAACCTTTAATCTGCTTAACCACTTATTGTTGTATAATCTACAAATTATTCATTTGGAAAACTAACATTCTTAAATATACTTCTTTATTGAACACAACACCTTTTCCAACATTGATTTTGTTCGTAATGAATTTATTCTACTTGTTAGTTCATAAACTTTTATATGTTTTAAAAAATCTAGACAGATGGACGCTTTTTTTTTTTTCTTGCAGAGACGAACATTTAGATTAATATGGTTAATTACATAGTTTACTCTAAAATCCAAATAAAAAAAACCACCACAAGGTTCAAACAAATTTCAATCAATTGGAAATAAAATGGTTTGGAAAAAAACATTTGTCTTTCTAGAAGGGAAATAAGTATCATCACCCCCTTTCAAGTTAAAGGGTAAAAAAAAAAAAAAAATAGAAGATGTAGGTCATGAAGATGCATACTTAAGCTTTGCCATCGAGTCTTCCACCATAGCATGATTGAATATAATGCCAATAAAATAGTAGTGCCAGCCATTATTACAGCCAGACCAACAATATCTTAACCTAATATTATATGATTAGCCAGCATCCCCACATGATAAGCAGCACAATTGGATATACAACAACCACCCATGCTAATACAGATAAAAAAGAACATAGCATACCTAGTTGAGGTCCTTATAAGATATTCGATCATTTTTTAGAAAAAATCCAATTGAAAAGAGAATGCAAAACAAATATAAAAAAAAAGAATTAGAAAAATGACATTAAGTAATAACCTTTCCTTGATTCCAAGGCAAAGGCACGGAGTGCACACCTACTTACATGTAGTAAGAAATAAACCATTCATACTAACCAAAGTAGCAAATTTTTTTTTAGAATAAGGTTATGAAAAGAATGCTCCAGCCAGAGAATCAAACATAAACAACAAATATAATAGAATAAATAGTATGTCTGAACATAATGAGCAATTGGTTTAGCAGGAAGATATACAAAATTGAAAGAATTAATCGACTAGCAACTGATCTATTCAATATTCTTGGATTGAAACCTTAGTTTCTATAACTTTTCAAATCTTAATTGAAGAGATGCCACTGTCAATATTAAACCCCTATTGAATATTTAATCTGTCTAATTATTTATTTTAGTAATAACACCTGGAAATTGAAGGAAATTTGTAATTGAATTGCAATAATAAAATTTGTTCTACCTTTGGAAAAAGTGTCAAGTTAATGAAAAGTTTCATATTTAAAGTCATTTATAAAAACAATACAGTTTACTCCGTTTACATTAATTGTCTGCACTTGCTATAAAAATCTAAAAGGATGTAGAATATTGAGTGATGTTATAGGTATAATATCTTAACATCAATGACCTATTGTTTCAGTTGCAAATTCTAAAACTGAGAAACAACTTCACTGCCCACTCCACCTTCTTCACTAAAGAAAAATAAAAGAGAACAAAACAAAAAGAAGGCTAAAAGTGTAATCAGCTTGGCATTTCAATTCGAAGGCAATGCACTGCAAGTTAAATAGATTGGCTCAATTGATTTTCTGCATCCATTTACCAAAATTGAAGCGCACACACATAATTGCACTCTCTTTTCCTAGCCACAGTTTACTTCACTTCTATGCATGCATAAATGCACTGTTTACCTTATTTATCTCAAACTATAATTTGGTTAATAGGCATGAATCAAACATTAAATAATAACACTAATATCCCAACATTTGTAGAGCTAGCTCCAGTGAGTTCATACTCTTTCTTCCATAACAAATATGACACTACTTAGTTGAACTTTTCAAAGCCCAACTGTGAATTACGTTTGTATTTTCTAAAGTTTGGTGCATGCAAGTTCCAAAGCATATGGATGAACAATGCAAAAATTAAAAAATAAAAAATAAAAGCATAGAACAATTATGCAATTCATCTGTATATACTTAAAGTATCTGGAAGCTTTCTTTATTTAGCAAAATTCATTTCTTTACTAATTTTTGTTACAACAAACTCTAGAAAATTTCATACTATTATGCTTAAAAGATAACCATCTTTTCAATATCCATGTAATAGGGCATTAGCATATACATATTTAACAAAATTATCATTTTCTTACCTTGTTTTCAAAAAACATATCATGACTCTGATAAGCAGTATGCTCAACTTTGCACCTGTAAATAACTTCAAGACTGCATATTCTATCAAACTTATAACAAAAAAATTAATTATAAACATGCAAAGAAAGAAAAAAGGGGAAAGGACAATTACCTATATACAAAAAATTCCATTGTAGAAAACCTAGTTTAATTTTGATTTTTGCTTATTTTTTTTATCTGAAAGATAATAAATTATATCAGTTGATAGCACATGCAAATAAATCCATACATGAAAACATAAACAACTTACAACACAAACTCAAACCAAATTTATACTCTATATACACTTCCATCCGCATCATAAAAAAAGATAAAAAATAATTAGACAAACAAATTAAACACATTCAAACTCATAACAAATTTTATACATCCGTCATAAAATTGTAAAGAATAAACTGTTTAAAGAATAAACAATATACTATAAAAAACCTCTCACAATACTCATAACCAAAAAATACATAAAAAAGAAGTAAAAACCACAATCCTCACAAATTGTGAGAAACTTAATAGATTTTGGCAAAGATTTGACTGGCGAAAAAAGAAGGGAGAAGAGAATATAAGGAAGAAGGGAGAAGGAGAAAGAGAATAGGGGTGGCGATCGGTGACCAGGCAAGGCCTAGATTTAGCTGAGAGATAAGAAAAAGAGAACATAAAAGAAGGAAGGAAGAGGAAGGAAAAGGAAAAACGAAAAAAAAGAGAAAAAGCTTTTGGAAAATTTTTTCTCAAATTTTCCCCTTCAATTTTTTTTTTTTAGATATTAAAGAGGTGTGCAGGTAAATTGAAGAAGGGGATAGAAATTATATATAGTTTATTATAGATAGTGTGAGAATAGATTAAGTAGCCATCTCCTTAACATGTTTGTACTTAACAAATAATGATGTACTTCATTATAGGTTATACATTGAATTAATATCATTCAATTAACTTAAATCATGATACTCAACTTGACTATTATTAAAACTAATGCTGATTCGATGATTAATTAATTTGAAATAGATTAATTACATTAATATATTAATACAATATAATTGCAATAAACAAATGAAGATAAACAATCATAAAGATAATACAATAAAATACAATAAAATTTAAGAATCTCAATTATTTCTATAATCAATTATTAAAAAAATTTATCGTTTATAATAATTTAAAATAAATTGATTAAAATTTATTTAATTACAATTTATTTGTTCGATGTTTTATTATTTGTATTATATTTATTATTTACTTTATTATTTTCATAAAAATAAATAAATAATACAATTATCAACCAAATGAAACTTTAATCTAACATTTAACATCTAATATGTTGTATATAAACACATACGATGATAATACCTTTTTTTGATAAGCATGAAATTATTTCAATTATTGAAGGCATTAAAGATATTTTACAACAAAATATTGAAAGAGAGTTAGACTTTTGGGCTTTAACAATAAACACCAATTTGTTGGGCCAAAACTTTTTTAATTTTTTTATGAGTTTGAATGTCATGTATTATGTTTTTTGCTTGTACTTTTAAATTAATTTTTTATTGAAAACAAAAAATAGTACCAAGCATAAAATATTACTCTTATTAATTTATATCTTAAAAATATAATGAAAAATTTTAAGTCCTTTGATGAAAAAGAAAAAGATGAACTACCTATAAAAAAAAAGAGAAAAAAATTATAATAGATATTATATTTATAATTTAAAATAATTAATTTTAAAAATAATTATTTACAATAGTCATTACTTACCAAAAAAAACTTACCAGCAAAATCATCATAAAGATAAAATGCGGTGTGACAACAATTTCTAACAATTAGTAAATGGCAACTGCAATAACTGCACCAAACATTACCTGACAAAAAATCCCAACAAATAAAAAAGAACAAAGAGACAAAACTTCCTTCGGATGGGTTTCATCAGCATCATTAATTCATCACCGTCACATATCCAACTCCGACATTCCATAGAACCCTAGCCTTCCAAATTACCTCAAAAATTAAAAAAAAAAACCTTAATTTTTTTTTTTTTTTTAAGAATTCCGAAAGATGGCTTCGACGTCTCCAACGAACCGATCCTCCTCCGATGACATCATCGACACGACGCCGTTTCTCTCATCAACAAGCGGCATGTCACGGGACGAGTCCACCGCGCGTCGATCCGTCCGTCGCCAGAGCCTTCGCGAAGCGGCTCGGTTCCTGCGCCGAGCGAGCAGCCGAAGAATGATCCGTGAGCCGTCCATGCTGGTTCGAGAAACCGCCGCCGAGCAGCTTGAGGAGCGCCAGAGCGATTGGGCATATTCGAAGCCCGTGGTTATTCTCGATATCGTCTGGAATTTCGCGTTCGTGGCGGTGGCACTTGGGGTTTTGGTTTTGAGCAGGGACGAGAGGCCCAATATGTCGTTGAGGCTGTGGATAACTGGGTACGCTTTCCAGTGTTTGCTACATATGGTTTGTGTTTGTGTGGAATATAGGCGACGGAGGAGGCGGCAGAGCGTGCAGTACAGACCAATTAGTGCTGGGGAGGAAGGGGCTTTGAGCCCAGGATCGAGGGTGGATTCAGAGCAATACGTGACATTGGCTCAGTTGGAACAGGATAGTGGAAGGTATTCATTTATATTGATAAGAGTTATATTGGTAGTTGATGATTTTTGAGAAGTTAATGATAGGTTTGGATTTCTTTTAAGATGTTGCTTCTTGTTAGTTAATTGATAGGTTGAGATGAATATATTACTTCTGCAGTGATAAGTGAGATGATTGTTTTATAGGTTGTGGCAATATGGAGAGGAATTTGGAAATTTTGTTTAATTAGTTGGAAATTGGAATATATAGGTTTTGGGCCCCATTAGAGAAAGTGCAAATCAGCTCATGTTCCGATGTTATGTCTGGATTTCAATTAAGTATTTGATATAGATTGGGAATTTTCGTTGATGTGTTCAATGCTATTTGGTTAAGTTGTACAAATGCATCATTTACATTGAAGCTGTAATGAGTTATGAGAGTCTGCCCTATGCATTCAATATTAGTTGAATTAATTGTTAGAAAATCTTATTATGATCTTTGGCATGTGTCTCTGTTTTATAGTGTATCTTGGATATATTTAATCTTACCGGCTTACCCAGTATAGCTTAAATTGTGTATGATAATCATTTGAAATTGATGTTTCCAGCAGTGTTTCAAAGCACCTGGAATCTGCAAATACAATGTTTTCATTCATCTGGTGGATCATTGGATTCTACTGGGTATCTGTAGGTGGCCAAGCATTGGCACGTTGCTCCCCTCAGCTTTATTGGTTAGTTCATGTGTCGTTTTTCCTGCTGCTTTTTCTTTGTTTGAAGGTTTTCCCTTGTAACTGAACCTAACTCTTTCAACGCAATTTTCTCTGCAGGCTTTGTATAATTTTTCTTGGTTTTGATGTCTTCTTTGTGGTTTTCTGCGTTGCACTGGCATGCATCATTGGCATTGCTGTTTGCTGCTGTCTTCCATGTATTATTGCAATCCTTTATGCTGTGGCAGATCAGGTAACTTCCACATTCTGCTCCATTTAAGACTATTATGATTGTATATGCCTCATTAATTTGTTTGTGTTCAATTGATGCTTGATTTTTGTGCATGAATATCTAATTTTATAATGGAATGGTTAATGGAGGTAAATATTGAAGTTGACTTGAGAATCACTTAGTTAGTAAGGGCCTCTTCATGTTTTTGTAGTTGATGTAATCACATCTAAGTCCATATATTTGGGATGAAATGGCTGACAAACATGTCTCGAAAGGTTGGTAGCTCTCTGAATGGAAAGATTTCTGGTAGGCTATATGTAAATTGAGTTGAAAAACATGGTGCTTTTTTTAAATTCAATTTGCTTTTGAGCTTTTGAGTATTTAAAATTGTTTTTTTTTTTTTAATTGAATGTTTAAAATTGTTGTGTGTTAAATAGATGTTTGATGTAATGTCTTTGACTTTTGCATTCTGGTGCAGTTTTTTACTTCATTTTTTGAGGGGAGTAAGTTTTGAGGTCATGGGTTTTACTGGATAGGCGAGGGCAACTCTCACGGGATGAGCTTACCTTCTTCGTAGTCAGATAATGTCAACTGAGTCGACCCTTTCTTCCCGGGGTTTCCCTCAATTCCATTAATGGAGAGTGAATATACATTCTGGCTCAACTGTTTCATAGGAGTATATGTTATGATTTCTGACTGCATGTTTCTTGATTTATTAAACAGGAAATCTTTAGACCAAGCTCCTTTACTTCATTTATATTCAGCAAGGTTTTGTCATCTTTCAAGGCTTTTGGTTCTATTCTAGTCATAGTTCATTTTTAACGGGCCCTATCTGGATATCATTTATGGCTGTCAGAACACAAATGATTTGAGCTTTCTGCATGAATCTAATTCAATTTAGATAATTGTCATAGCAGACTAAAGTAAGTTGATAGATGTTTGTTTTAAGAAAGTCGACACATTTTTTCATGTGATACACAGTCTGAATGTTGAATTTTACTTGATGAACATGCTTTAAGAACTTTTAGAGAAGAGACTCTGGTTTCTGCAGTTGACTGGAGTAATTTAAGTAGTTTTAAGTTAAAAATTTATATTTTCAACAGTTGTAGGGCTCCTGGCAATTAAGATAGATTTACTTGGAAAATTTTTTTTTTTAAATCTTTTCAGTTTTGGTGTACTTTTCTTTTTACTTACTATATATACCAATTGAAGCAGGAAGGAGCTTCCAAGGAAGACATTGATCAGTTGTCAAAATACAAATTTCGAAAAATTGGCGATGATGAGAAATCTGCTGGTGATGTCCAAGGACCTGTTGGGGGAATAATGACTGAATGCGGTACTGATTCCCCCATGGAGCATGTGCTTTCCCAGGATGATGCAGTAAGTTGATCTCTTCTTTTTTGGTTTTTTTTATGCTACTTATTTCCTTTCTCCTTCCTACTATGATTTGCCTCTTCAGAAATGACATGATGTGAAGCCATGCTTGTTTCTGTGTTTTTGTGATAATTCCTTTTCTCATACTGAGAGTTAAAGGAAGTATAAGTCAAATACCCAACTGATATTTGATTCTTGGGTTAAATTGTAGGAATGTTGTATCTGCCTTTCTGCTTATGATGATGGAGTTGAGTTAAGGGAACTTCCTTGTGATCACCATTTTCACTGTGCCTGTGTAGATAAGTGGCTGTACATCAATGCTACCTGTCCTCTCTGCAAGTATAACATTTTAAAGAGTAGTAGCCATGAGGAAGTGTAGAAAAACGGAAATAATTATTCATGGTCACATCAGCGACCTCTGCATATGAGTTTAGCTCAGAGAGCATTATAATGCACAGCATGTCATACAGACTTGATACATGCAATTAGTTTTGTTCTTGTGGTGGTAGTTGTAGATGTTGTCATCATAGTGCTGTTACAGTCATGACGTGCTTGTTTTAGCTCTGGCCTTAGGAGTTCTGTACATTGATGTTTCGACAGGCGTCTAAGCACTAACTGAGTCGAAGAACTCGTTTGTTTCTGTTTTCTTCTCTTTCTTCAAATCATTTAATGGGAACACGTTGCCTTTACTCTTGTTTAAGGCCTTTCTTTCTGTATTGGGAATTAATTACATTTGTAAAGTGTTTTAGGTAAAACCTAGTTGAACAAGTGCAAGTGGTCTTATTACGAGTTCGTAATGTTAAGAAATGCTTATATCTGAATGCTGCCCAATTATGCTGTACACCCTAATATTTTGCATGGAAAAATTCAGTTCTAAGTTCTAAAGTTTGGCATAAAAGATCCCAAAAATGCATGGGTTTTTAATTCATAGATGAGATGAGATGAGATGCTTGCCTCTCTTGCTAGTCATTTTCTTGTATTTTTTTTTTCAGATCTGGGTAGTTAAAGATAGGTCCTTTTCTATGCAGTCAGGATTGTCTTTAGAATACAATCATGGTGATGCTTACTCGGCATATTTCTTGAGCAATTATTTTCTCTTCACCCCATGGAATTGTTGGATGTAAAATTTGAGTAAGAGACTGGATATTGAAGTATTCATAAAATTGAGAGAAAAAATATTTGAAAATTCTTTCTTTTTTTGTGATGGAGTTTTTACGCACTATTCCATTGTAATGTATTTTCAAGTGACTTTAATTTTCAGTTTATACGATAAAGTTCAACTAAATAAAAATTTCCACTAAAATTTCACTTATGATATATGGACTGTTCTTAAAATTTTAGTTATATGTGTATTATTAAGTACTAGATAGATGAGGAATGTGTGTGTGTGTGTGTGTGTGTGTGTGTTTTTAAATATTATAATTGTAAATTCATTAGTTTTATTTAATGGATTTTATTATTTATTTATATTGATGTAAATATTTTATCAAATCATATAAATTATAATTTTTTTTATTTCATTTGTATTTATGTATCTTTTGCATATTATTATAGTAATAGATGAATTTTTACAAAAAAATTTAAAAACATTAATCGTTTGTATTTGATCCACCAAAACTAGTGATGTCTGGTAGGACATGGGCCATAAAAATTATGAGCAATTCTGTGCGGAATCATAATTTTAATCTTCATAAAGTAAAAAATAATACAGGACCACTACAATCCATACAATCCATTATAATATGAATTATTATTTAAATTGATTATGCTAACTCATTTCACACCTCAATTTTTTTTTTTAACAGAAACTTGGATTCATTAACTCTGATTAGACAGTTCTTGAGCTACAAGATCATGAATTTCATTTCGATATCCACCATGCCAGACAGTGTCTTCGTTCTTGACCAGAGCCAGTTTTGCAAGCCTGTGAGCCACCTTATTTGCTTCGCGTTGGATATGGAAGGTCTTCCATTCAACCAGCTTTGCCATTTCCTCTCTGATATCTGTTATAATGTTCCCTATAGCTGAAAGGTTGGTCCCTTTCACACCTCTAAAATTAAGCAGGTAAAATTTTAGTATTTCATGATTTAAAAAAATCACCCAGTCCAAACACCTCCGATCCTTCATCAACGTAAGGAATTCTTTTTAGCATCTGAAAATTCGAAATAAATTTGGACTTGTATTTGTAATTTGGTGTAATTGTATGTGTGTGGACGGATAAGATGGAGCATGACTCTCTGCTGCAACGTTACCGTCGCGATCGCCGGAAGCTCTTGAAGTTCTTGTTTCTTCGGTCTGATAAAGGAATTTCGGACGCCGTCAGGCTCCGCTTCTTCTCTCTCCGACGCCGTCTTCGACGAACTCAGTGCCGATGACATCCTCCACTGCGTTGAATCCGGCTTGTCTGACGTTTATTTCCCGAAAAAATGGAAAGAGAAGAAAAAGGAAACAGTAATTATTAGTTTCTAGATTTATGTGTGTTTAATTATTTGCTTCTTTTTCATGGCTTAATTTTCTCTGCGACTTGTTTGGATACTGAAATATTTTCAGGTGGAATCATTGATGTTTCTGAAGCCACTAAGAAGTACTATGCGGAATCTACTCATCAGATAATGGTGATAAACTACTTTTAACTCAATCGAAATTTTAGCAGTAGTTTTTAAATCTTCTACTGTTTGCTTCGCGTTTAAATGAATTTGTATATAGTATTTTTATTGCCTTTGTTATTATAATAGTTTCAAGTAGTTGCAGAATAATCTGAGTTAGGTTTTCAACAATTAAAACTGTTATTAGGAATGAGGAGTTTTTTAAGCTAATCTTTTCTATAGTTTTCTTTATTCATCAAAAAAGAGGGAGCTTTAGTTCTATCTTTCAACGTGCAACCTGTGTCATTAGAGTGAAAGGAATACGGAGTTTGATCTTTGATGCGTGTTTGTCGTGCAGTGAACAAAAGATAAGCTACAAGTTCTTAAAAACGTTTATGTGTTTATGTTTCTAGAGTATTAGTCTTGAATGACTTAAACTATGGTCTATTATTAATAATACAAGTTTTTAATCTTTTTGGTTTTTAAATTGCAGATTCATTCCAGTTTAGGGGATTTGGATTTTCTTACTTCTGATCCAGATTTGGCTGGATCTCCTCCTTGGCGTGTGCCTCCTTCAACTATTGCCAGCAGAACTAGTGAACATGCTTCATCTTCATCTGGTAGGCTGGATTCTTTCAAGGTTAAGAGTGTTGAAACGTGTGGGGATGACTATGGTTTGAAATACAAAGCAGAAACAGCTGTAGCTAGGGCTTCTTGAGGAAATTCTGGAATTCCTTCTCTTGGGTTACGTACCTTCAAAACAGGTATTGATTAGATAAACTAATATTCCTTTTTGCACTTAAAATTTACTTAGAAGCTCCTAAAACACTTATGAAAAGATTGTCTTATTTTTATTTCCATCACGTATTTACATATACTCAGAATGTCATAAGGATGCTAATATTTGTGTTTTGAGTCCTGGCATTTCTTGTTTCAATAAAGTCTGATACATAGCTTCAGGACATTATTTGAGTGGTCTCCTCATATTCTCTGGTATGCGAGAACAAGAGGTACTGGCTATGATTTTACTTGCTTCACAAATTGGAATTATTTTGGGCTGACAGTGTTGAGCAATGGTGCTCTGTCTAGCTATGTCAATTAACAGGTTCCTGCAAAAAGATTGAACTGAACCTTTTATTAGAAGTTGGTGGCCATGTGCTCTTTTTGAAGCCAATGGTTAGAAAGACTCGCATGACCATCTGCATATGCTGTGTGATGGTTACTACCATCCATATTCAATAACCAACACTTTGTACAAAGGTGCCAACAAACTAGCTGCATGTATCGAGGATATTGTCATCTTTATTATATGTTTTGCTAGCTAATAGAACTGTGTTGTTTTGCTGTAGGAATTTTTCATTGCTGTTGCAGAAGGCCTTCCGGAGTCATTAGTTGAGTAGCAAGCAAAATTCGCTTAACACATTCTTCACATGTGTTCTCTTCAGGTTATCTAGCTCATACTTGAGTGTTTCTTATCTGTAAGAGAATTATTAGTTCAGCAGTTTACTCAATGCTTTTTGGTAGGCCTGAACTGTTATTCAAATGTTGATGAGCCCAAGTGCGCTCATTTCAATGGGATTACATTCAAACAAACATGGCCGTACTTGGGAGATGATCACACTTTAATATGAGTATTATGCCACCAGAAAGATACGGAAGCATCAAAGTTGTTAAAAAGTGGAATATCAGCCACCCATGTCTTCAGGTATATTTTCTATGGAATGAGGCTGCAAAATGTATATCAGTGCTAGTCTTTTACATGCTAAATTATTGTTTGATCCAATTGGGTTGTTCTAACATAGGCATAAACAATTTAACCGAAAGATAAAGGCTATGCAAGAAACAGAGTGTTGCGTATCATTTAATTAATGTTTATCAGGCTATTTTTCATTAATCAATGTTCAGTAAAAGTGGCCTTATGTTATGGTCCCTTTGTTTTTGCTTGGGCTTATTTCCTCAGAATGCATCATTTCCTTCATAGTGTAGTTGTTGAGCCATTCTTCTCTCTGTACTTTGTTCATTTGCATAAAAGTGAATGACATAAAAAGTCTGGCTGAAAAGAAGGAAAATTTCGAGTTAGGTTTGGAGGTTATTTTCTTTTTTAACTGAAACATCACAGGCTTAGTTATAGCCAAAGGGAGTTATTTTTTATTCGTTATTTTCTTTGGTCTAGAAATTGGGTCTAAATATATTCTTAGTTGATCTTCGGAAATTTAAGCAGTGTATGATAATCGTCTTACCTAACGGTTTCTTGACATGCTTTTACATCCTGAGAGTCAGAAGCCACAAAAAGCTGATTGCATACGAATTGCTGATTAATTCTTGACTAATGACGATGATCCGTCAGGGGATTCAACCTTGAGATCACCTCTTATATCAGATGTTCTTAAGTGAAGCACCTCAATTTGTTGAAACAAGAAAGGTCAAATTAGTTTTAAATCAATGAAAAAGAAATTCAAGAAGCAACAAATGGAATCAGAAATGTGGCAAGGTAATGTAGCTGCTAAATCATGTTGTATAAAGTCTTTATTAGTCGTCGTGGCATTTTGTAGCGTTTCCTTGTGCTTGGTAATGAGTTGGCCCACAAAAATCCAATTCTTTTGTTGTTCTATACACGTAAAAATGTTAATAGTGGTAACACTGGGTAGGACCTGGGCACCATGCTAACAACTTGCCCGTGAATGAAATGCTGTCAATAGAAATTCGAGTAAATCTACCGGGACAAACTGACAATACTAAGAGACAGGCGAGGCCCGCCCTTATAACTAATATTATCCAAGTTTTGTTTTAGTAATGATCATATTGGAAAATTTCATTTTCAGGCTGTGTTTTTGTCCCTTTTCTTGACAAATGGCACACAGCAGTGCAGTTGACGTACATATATTAGTTTGCTACAATTGCTGAAGGGAGTGGGAATCTTTAATTTTGTGTTTTAAAATAGTTAAGCTCGTCGATTTTGATTTCATTTTCTTCTCTTTGCCTCACCCAGTGATGTAATAGGTTGACTTGAATCAATTTTTATTACCCTCTATTCATAAGTGGATAAAATGTTCGTCTCAAATTATCATTTTGCTTTGCTTTTCTACAGGGAACTTCCGAAAATATGAGTTTTTTTTTCTCGGTGTGTGCTCATATTTCAATGATATGAGCTCCATCGAATGAAAGTTATCTGCTCCCTAAAGCCACGCCGCACTTCACCGAGTATCTTTTGAAACTCGTGTACAATCAAATTTATTAATGTTCTGTTTAATTATATAGGTATACTTTTTCTTTCCATGTTCAAGAACGTATCATTTATAATTATTAATTAAAATTAATCAATCATTATTAAAAATTGTAAAAATATGATATCTAAACTTAAGTATAGATTTGTACATTTTTTTTTATTTTGAATGAATAATTATAAGATTATAATAAATAAAATTATAGGTGAAATGATCTCTTGTTTTTTATAGTATTTTTATTTTTTATTAAAATAAAAACATAAATGAAACGGAGTTTAAATTCCATTTCATAATAAAAAGAAGTTAATTAATATGTTCTAAGTAGCATTATATTTATTTGGAATTCATTATATGATCTTTCAAACAAGATTATGTTTATCATATTCATTAATTTAGCATTCGGCACTGTGCCTTACCCTACCACCAACTTTTCAAAATGTCCAACAATTGTAACGCGATTGTTGTTTGGATGTATTGAATAAGAACATTGAAAATGAAAAAAAAAAACAAAAAAAAAGCTTGATTCTTGAAGACGAATATGAAAAAGAACCAACTCTGCATAAAAAAGGAAAAACAATTTACAACTATGATTGATCCTAAAACAAAGTTGCTAGGAACTATAAATTAAACAACTAGGACGAAATAATAGACGAGGTCAACCATCTTCCCTCCATTTGATTATGGGGGGCCTAATCACTCACTCGGTTGCAACATATTCACCGGCGTGCCGATCACCTCCTGACCCGAGTGCATTGCACAGCCATAACTGTCCAACTTCATCTTAAGTTCAACGATCCCATTCTCCATTGAACCATCTTTAGCCCTTAGCTTGTAGCTCAGGTGCCGAACTGAGCCCACTGGCGGCGACCCAATATCAGCAGCTGGAATCTGGCACCAACCCAGTTGAGCCTGACGACCAAGGAGACTTTTGGTGTATAGCTCTAGATTCATACAAGAGTTGGTGGTAAAGAAGTTGGACTCTATTGGTACAAGAACCCGGTCACCAAACGTGAAGTTCTCAACATCAACTTCACCATCAGCCCGGGGGACGTTGTCACCGTTGAACTTGGTGATGGATATAAAGGGTCTCAGAGGTCGGGACAAGAGACCACAAGAAGCAGGTTCCTTAAGGTTCTCTGCTGACAAGACTGTGAACTCCATTACAAACTGTGGGGGGTTTGGGTAATTGTCAGCCATGGAAACAAGAGATTTTAGCTTTGGAGAAGTTAAAGAGAACTCTTTAATCAGTTTCAGTTTTCAAATTAGTGATGTATAAACTAACAGCTCTTTTTATTTTGTAGTTGGTTTTTGCAAAGCTTTTAACTACAGCTGCATAGAAATTTCTGACTGCCGTAAGGGATCGTGGGGACATGTTTCCGGTTGTAAGCATGAGATGACAGCTGATAGTGACACGGACATATAGCTAAATGTAATGCTAAGAGCCCTTCGCTCTCTCTCTCTCTCTCTCTCTCTCTGAATAAAAGGAACAGTATTTCACGTGCTTTTTTCTTGCCTTAAATTTGCTTACATATGTTTAGCCTATTAAAGCTCTATTTGGACCGTATTAGAAGAATATAAGATGTGTTTTATGATTGGAGTCTAAAAATTTTTACCGTCAAATTCCGGGGACGGATTAATTTCTAACATAGTTTATGATTTTTAGGATTTTTTTTTCTAAGCCAAATAGATTTTTTAATACCAAAAGGATAGAGCTAGCAGCATGACTAGCAATAATGTTACATTATGACAGACTTAAAAAAAAAAAAAAATCTCTAATATACAAAACCACTTAAAACCCAAAGATGGGATCCAGAACCAAAAAAACTGGTCAAAGAGGATGATTCCAAATCAGAATTAATTCAACCAAAAATATCCAAAGGTACATAACTGTGATTGAAGATTATAAAAGAAAAGTTGCAGAGTTATTTTCCTAGATTTTCAACCAAAACTTTTAATTGATATGATTGTAAAATTTGGCATGGTTTTTATTCATCATTACAATTTGCATTTGATGGCCACTGGACGTGTTTGGTTTGCATTTGTTTGATTGCATTTAATATTGGCATAATAGGAAGTAATTTCTTGAAAACTATATCATCGATCCTTTTTTTAAATGTCAAATTAGGGTTCTTATTTTCTCTCTTTCTTTTCTTGCAAAACCTAGAAGCACTTAATTTCGTCAAACAAATTTTAGACAACATTCTATTCTATCCCACCTCAAGTACTAATATTGTATCGAAATCATTAGCCTCAAATGTTTCAACTAATGTGTTAAAATAATATTATCTCACATCTAATAAATATTTAATTTTTTATAATCTTATATTTAAGTTATATTCAATTAATTTTAGATATAAAATTATAAAAAATTAAATATTTATTAAATATAAAATAATACTATTTTAATAAACTCTCATCGTATATAAAAAAAATAAAAATTTTAACTTTAATATTATATTAAATATTTAACTTTCACTCTAATATCATATTAAATATCTAACTTAATTAATAAAATGTAAATTTTAGGTACTATGTATAGGCTTTGTAACCAAAACCAATAGACCGACAAATCTTTCTTTAAAGATATTACGAGTCATATCAATGTTGACTCCACAGACCATGTTATGGTTGCTTGTTGGTAATATAGTCGCGCATCATTAGATAAATAAAAATTCTAAAGTGGTTTTTTTTTTTTTTTTTTTTCAGATTAATACATGGTTAATATCTTTTTCAATTCATTTTATGTTATCTTATTCATATGACTTATGAGATTATAAACTTATCACTTTCCATAAGGCCTCAAATAGTAGATGATGTGAATTATAAAAAAAAAAAAAAAAGATGATGTGAATATTTTACAAAGTAAAAATATATGAGAGGATAAATTTAATACTTATTGAAGAATTTTATCTTAAAATATCTTAATTATTCATGATATAATGCACCAAAAATAAAGTTTTAGCACTAGTACGTGAACAATTTTTTTCTTTTAAAGTTCTCCAGCCCAATTTCACCTCAGACTCTTTATCTTGCCCAAGCCTGACCATGAAAAAAAAAAAAAAAAAACCCTCTAAAATGCAAGATCATGTCCCCTAATTTGAATCAAAAAATTTATAGTGTAGCAGGAGTATCTAACTATATGGCTCAAACTGAATCCAGTCCGTATGACCCCCTCAAATTTGCTAAAGGCTTGGCCCGCTACACCCATTAAAACCCATTTAATTTAAATTTGATATTAAAATATTAAAAACCTATTTTATATTAATATTTTAATGATTTTAAATATATATTTAAATTAAAATTATATAAAACCATCTATTTTAGAATAAAATACTTTTATGGGCAAAATCTGATTGGGCTAGAGCTTTCAAACCTGATCTGAACTTTGGGGGGTAGCTCAATTTGTGGGCAAATGTATTGTAAAATGTATACAACAAAGAAAAAGTGTATATATATATATATATATATATATTACACCGGCTCTGATAATACAATATCCATGAATTTTAATATGAATCTACGTTCATGGATGATATATAATAATGTTAATATATTTTTAAAAAACGAAAATGAATATAAACAAATGAGTATTTGTTTTTGAACTCCACGAGGCTTCCATGAATATCCAAGCTTGACTTGAAAATCCCATGGTAGCCACATTTTTTACCCAATCCCATCCGTGGATTTATGACATATAATAATATGATAAATTAACGTGTTCCGAGGCAATGGTTCATTATCATTGTTGTTTCTATCTGCAGATAATTTCATTTCTTTTCATTGTCAACAATCCTTCACCAAGCAATTCTTGCCTTTTTAGATAGTCTTGATGTATGATATATCATAATTAAATATTATATAAATCGTATCTGACATTATCCAATTTGAAATTAATAAAATATTATTTTTAAATATAAAATATTATTTTTTAATATAAATATAAAATTAAATAAATATATAAATATATAAAATTAATTAATTAATAAAATAATTAAAAATAATTTTTTATATATATTACATCGGGTCGAATTTGCTTAAAATCTAACCTTGACCTAACTTTTTCTTACTATTACTTGATCGACCCAAAACTTGATATAAAAAAAAAATCGACCTTATGAGATCACGTCGGATCAAAACTCACTGGGGGCGAATTGGGCTGTCAACCCTAATCATAATTCACATGACAAATACTACCAAAAATTGTTTCGTTACCGACATAATTTTTCTATCGGTAGTCACCAATGGATTACCAATAGAAAATAATTGTTAAAAAACTCCAAAATCACTGATGAAATAGCAATGGAATTTACCGATAAATTTCAGTCCATCAGTAATCAGTAAGTAAAAATTTTATGGGAATTAACGTGAAAATTACTAATGAAAATATTTGTCGGTAAAAAAGGTTTTGAAAAAAATTTTTAAAGTGGGTAATACTTTAAAACCTTAAATCCCTAATCTCTTTCTTTCTCCCATTCTCCCATTTTCCACCAGTAATATTGTGCTTCCAAATCGTCTGCCATTCGATCTTCTTCCTGACTT